GGGTTTAAACTGATCCTTTCCGGAGAATTTGATTCTCTTCCCGAACAGGCCTTTTACTTAGTGGGTAACATCGATGAAGCTACTGCGAAGGCTACGAACTTAGAAATGGAGAGTAAATTGAAGAAATGACCTTAAATCTTTGTGTACTGACTCCGAATCGAATTGTTTGGGATTCAGAAGTAAAAGAAATTATTTTATCTACTAATAGTGGGCAAATTGGCGTATTACCAAATCATGCGCCGATTGCCACAGCTGTTGATATAGGTATTTTGAAAATACGCCTTAATAACCAATGGTTAACGATGGCTCTGATGGGCGGTTTTGCTAGAATAGGCAATAATGAAATCACTATTTTAGTAAATGATGCAGAGAAGAATAGTGACATTGATCCACAAGAAGCTCAGCAAACTCTTGAAATAGCAGAAGCTAACTTGAGAAAAGCTGAAGGCAAGAGACAAACAATTGAGGCAAATCTAGCTCTCAGACGAGCTCGTACACGAGTCGAGGCTCTTAATACGATTTGATTTTGTAACTAGCTGACGTGTAAAAAAAAAGAATGTATAAAAAAAAATAGGATCGAAAGGCGAGAAAAACAAAAAAAGAAAAAAGCTGGTTACAAAAACTTATTAGACACCATGAATCATGGTGTCTAATAAGTTATACCTACTATTGGATTTGAACCAATGACTCCTGCCGTATGAAAGCAATACTCTAACCACTGAGTTAAGTAGGTTATTTATCATCGTAAAGAGAAAGCAAGGGGGTACCTATCACATCGATAGGATTATAAATCTAATATTATTTCTAAGCAATACCAATAAACAACGAGATTCAAGAGATATAATGTTCGATCATATAATATTAATCTTGACAAGAAATTATCTACATGATAAGATAAAATGTGTATCACAAATACAAGGGCTATAGCTCAGTTAGGTAGAGCACCTCGTTTACACGTGCGCCAAAGTTTTTCAGAGGAGTTCATCACGCAATCAAACCAATTGATTGATCTTATTAATAAATCGATGTCTTACTCCACGACTTTTTTTTAGGAAAAAAAGAGGAGAACAACAGCCTGACATTAGGTCCTATTAAAGTACCCCGTTAGGTAGGGGATGAATAGAACCCATCATTGATTTGAGATATTGATAGGGTGAATACCTAGTCTACTTAATGCTAGGCAGAATGAGTATAAGGAACTCAAAAATGATCTTTTCGTCCTATGAACCTTAAGGTGTATCAAGTTTCATGTTTGATTTTTTAATCAGGATGTTAGAGACTATATTTAACTTAAGTTGATCTAGACCAAAAGCAAACCTACGTCAAGAGAACCCAACCCTCTTTTGAAACACTTTGGTAGTTCTTCTGTATTGTATTAGAATTAAAAAAAACCAATCAGAGTACTTGGAACCATTTCTTATCTTTTTTTTTAAGAAAAAATTTGGTAGACTAACTGATCCTTCTATCAGTTAATGAAAGAGCCCAATGCAAACAAAAATGCATGTTGGGTCTTTGAAAGAGTTCGAATCATTTTGATAATAATAAGTTCGAACTCTTTTACCGAGCAGGTCTACGGTTCGAGTCCGTATAGCCCTAACTAAGACTAAGAAATTGAGTCGAATAAATGACATTCAAATCAAAATAATTGGATAATTTTTTTTACTTAATTATTGTATTCTTTATTTCTAACTGGTTACGTTCAATTACTTGGTTCATAAAAAAAATTCCCATACCCCAAACCATAAGTCCTGGGGATCGTTCAGAATAAAACGGAAAACGGCATTTTATTTCAATAGATCCAACCACTATCTATCGATATATCTAGATAGATACTTGATAGGTTAGAATAAACTTTTTTTTCTTCATTAATTTTCATAGTCGTAAGTGGATTTTTTGTTTATACTTCATAATTTAAAAAACAAAGAAATTTTTCTACATTTTTTTGATTTCTAACTAAAACATAACCAAAATTTCATAAACAGAAATCCAAAAAATTACTAGTTATTAATAATATTACTATTATATTATATATTATTAATATTAGAAACTATTAGTAATAGAAACGTGGAAATATTAAGTAATTAAGTGTACTTAAAATAAGATTACAATTAATAAATCTTAAAATGAGACGTCTACCACAGCAACCAAACGAAAAAAAATCATTCGATTAACCTGAATTTTTGTTTTGACTCAAGAGTTCTATATCCCTTGCCCAATCCACTCCGACTGGAATTGACTAGGCGGGTATTTTTTTTTCCACATTCATAGGAGTTCGTCTATGTTTCTGCTTTACGAATATGATATTTTCTGGGCATTTTTAATAATATCAAGTGCTATTCCTGTTTTGGCATTTCTAATTTCCGGAGTTTTATCTCCAATTAGGAAGGGGCCGGAGAAACTTTCTAGTTATGAATCCGGTATAGAACCGATCGGGGATGCTTGGTTACAATTTAGAATCCGTTATTATATGTTTGCTCTAGTTTTTGTTGTTTTTGATGTTGAAACCGTTTTTCTGTATCCGTGGGCAATGAGTTTCGATGTACTGGGGGTATCTGCTTTTATAGAAGCTTTCATTTTCTTGCTTATCCTAATTCTTGGTTTAGTTTATGCATGGCGAAAGGGAGCATTGGAATGGTCTTAGTTCGTTTCCTGAATACTTGTAAAAAAAAAAAAAAAGTAAAAAAAAAACCATTGAAACAATTATGAATTCCATTAAGTTTCCCGTACTTGATCGAACAACAAAAAATTCAGTTATTTCAACTACGTTAAATGATCTTTCAAATTGGTCAAGACTTTCCAGCCTATGGCCGCTTCTTTATGGTACCAGTTGTTGTTTCATTGAATTTGCCTCATTAATAGGCTCCCGATTTGACTTTGATCGTTATGGGCTAGTACCAAGATCGAGTCCTAGACAGGCGGACCTTATTTTAACAGCAGGTACAGTAACAATGAAAATGGCTCCTTCCTTAGTGAGATTATATGAACAAATGCCTGAACCAAAGTATGTTATTGCTATGGGAGCCTGTACAATTACAGGGGGGATGTTCAGTACCGATTCTTATAGTACTGTTCGAGGAGTTGATAAGCTAATTCCTGTAGATGTCTATTTGCCGGGCTGTCCACCTAAACCAGAGGCTGTTATAGACGCTATAACAAAGCTTCGTAAGAAAATAGCTAGAGAAATTTATAAGGATCGAATTAGACCTCAACAGGGTAATCGGTGTTTTACTACCAATCACAAGTTTTTTGTTGTACGCAGTACGCATGCTGGAAATTATGATCAAGAATTGCTCTATCCACCATCATCTACTTCAGAGATCTCTACTGAAACATTTTTTAAATACAAAAGTCCAGTATCTCCCCACGAATTTGTGAATTAGGGAGGATTTTAGAGAATAAGAAAAAAATCTTCATAAATTAGAACTAATGTGAAATACTTATTTTATATAAAAAGGGTGTGGGGGAAATAAAAAAAATGCAGGGCACTTTGTCCGTTTGGCTAGCCAAACGAGGGCTAGTTCATAGATCGTTGGGCTTCGATTACCAAGGAATAGAGACTTTACAAATAAAGCCCGAAGATTGGCATTCTATTGCTGTAATTTTATATGTATATGGTTACAATTATTTACGTTCGCAATGTGCCTACGATGTGGCACCAGGTGGCCTCTTAGCCAGTGTGTATCATCTTACGAGAATAGAATATGGTGTCAATCAAGCGGAAGAAGTCTGTATAAAAGTATTTACTCACAGGAGTAATCCTAGAATTCCATCTGTTTTCTGGGTTTGGAAAAGTACGGATTTTCAAGAACGGGAATCTTATGATATGTTAGGAATCACATATGATAGCCATCCACGACTGAAACGGATCTTAATGCCCGAAAGTTGGATAGGGTGGCCTTTACGTAAGGATTATATTGCCCCCAATTTTTATGAAATACAAGATGCTTATTGAATGATAAAAAACGAGTCTTAGCTTCTATAACTGCGGACCTTCACGGAATATTTTGAATTCGATTCTTTTTAGATCAAACAAACAGAAAAATTGAGATCTCATTCATATTATTATAGATAGCTTGATCTCCAAGTTCAAAGATACTTTTTTTTTCGTAAAAGCCGAGCCAATAGGATGAACTAAAAAAAAAAAGAGTTCTGCATTATGAACTTTGTATCGCGCACATAACTTAGTCACATAACTGGGAATGAATAAATAAGATCGGAAATCTATAAATGAGGGGGGGGTACAATTTCTATTGTATCTAATGAATCTTGGGGTATTTCTGCCCTTCAACTATAGATCCTTTTTTTACTTGTTTGATTCTTTCAAACAGAACTCAGTTAACCTTTCCTTTCGAATATGTAGTATGTATAAAGTATTATACATTTTTTTTGAACGGATGGATCCACAACATGAACAAAAAAAGCGAGGGGGATAAAGGATGATTGCACCCTTTTTACTAAGGATACGTTTAATTTGCAGGATAGAAACTTATCAAAATTAATCAATCCAATCAATCCTATGCCAAGAACCAGATTTGAACTGGTGACACGAGGATTTTCAGTCCTCTGCTCTACCAACTGAGCTATCCCGGCGATTAACGAAGTATCATCCTCATTTTACTAGATGGCTTAGGTCTATGTCAATTAAAAGAAACGCAAAAAAAGTAGTAAATGAAAAAAGTGTTGGACCGGGAATTTCTTGGATCCGCGAAAAGAAGACTTTCTAAGTTTTAAAATGAAAAATGATATAGATTCTAAATAATTCAAATCGATATTTCTTGTTCATTTGTACGTGGATGATATATCCCACAAGACTTGTATATAATATAATAAGAAAAGAAATTTTAGTTTGTAAAAGCGTAGGATGAATGAAAAAAGATAATGAATTTTTGAATAACTAAAAAAAAGCTAAGGTGTCAGCGGGGGAGTGGGGATAGAGGGACTTGAACCCTCACGATTTTAAAAGTCAACGGATTTTCATCTTACTATAAATTTCATTGTTGTCAGTATTGACATGTAGAATGGGACTCTATCTTTATTCTCGTCCGATTAATATTCCTTTCACCTGGCTTCTCATTCTCAGTACCAGATGCAGGAATAGAAAACGGCACTGTCCAAAGCAACTGGCTTGTAGCTTCAAATGTGGTGAGAAGTTCCTTAAAGGTTCCTTGGACATAAAAACTATTCACCATAGCTGGAAAACAGACCCTCCTTCGAGTATCAAATGTCAGGTAAGTGATGTCATCTACCACTTTTCCAAGGTACCGGCACTTTACTGACAGAGAGATATCATGCCCAGCAGTAGCACCATAGCCCTGGAAGTTAAGAGCTTCGAGAAATGCTTTAGCTAGGGCAGTACCAAGCGTCTTAGATGCTGAACTCAATGATGCTCCATCAATTCTGCGACGATTAGAGGAGGTAAATCCTTTCACAAGGGCTGTGAAAAAAAAACGTAGTGTACAATTCAGCTTGTTTAAAATTTCAACAATGAGAACTTCGGGGCTTTTCTTTTTCAGCTCATGGGAAGATGACGTTTCTGGTAGATCAGAAGGAATCTCAGAATCAAAATTGAAAGACTCCAGGTGTCGACGAGTCCTCCCACCCCTCATTCTGGCTATTGCATGTCGTGTACGACCATGGGTACCTTCGCCAGAACGCACAACAAAGAGAAATTCACGATCCCCAACCCAAATAGACTGAGGGTTACTGCTTCTAGTGGCTACAGGGTTAGTGTATCTAACTGCAGGAGCGTTGCTTGAATCTTCATCAATCTCTCTTTCAACACTAGATGATGCTGAAACTGAATTATCAGGTCCTCGATCAACACTCTTTTTTTCATCTTCTTTGGCATCACTACACAAAGCCATCTGCCATATCATTTGCTTATATGTTAGACCAAGTTCTTTCAGTACATCAGCATCAGCAGCACTCAGTTCCGAAATAACTGAAGCTGTTCCTTTCAACAAAAAGTTAGAGAGGGACAACACGCCTTCTAGGCAGGAAAGAGATTTCAAAATCTTTGTCTGGATCTCAGACTCTAATTTAAGAAGCTGAGCGCCTTCAATGGAAACCAAAAGCTCATTTGTGTACTTCAGATGTTCTCTTAAGTAGGAGCACACTATCCGGGCTAGACTAGCCGAATGCTGAGGGGAGAAGTTCTTAAAAGCGACAGAAAAACTTTGACCAAGAGGGGTTGACAGAGGCATAAGAGGCAAAGAGAATAGCTTCAAAACAGCATCAATTCCTTTTTTCTCAACAAACAGGGAACATACTTCCGCATTCTGAAGAACTGTTTCAAAGAGACGAGCAACATTAGACACACAATCTGGAAGAAACTGCTCAATGTTTGCTGGAGTAGTATCAGAAGATGGTTGTGCCTCATCCGAAACGGCCAAGCTCTTCTCATCAGAATCAATTTCCATAGGAACGGTTGCAGCATCTGTAGGCACATCTGTTGACATAGAAGTGGAGGCCTCCATCCCAGATCCCATAATCAACATCGAATTGAGGATTTCAATGAACATATCGACTCCATAAGTGCGCAACGAAGATTGGTGTCTTAAGAGTTCATCAAGCCCACTTGACAAAGAACCAGGAGTATCGCCAGTAAGAGCCCGCAGATAAGATGCAGAAGTAAATATTTTCACGAAACACCTCAATGCATTTCGGTCCTTTACAGCTTGGAGACCGCTATTGTTGAGACACAGGGCATCCAGACACTGTGGAATGCATGTTATGGCTTCTGCAGAGCAGATGATATCATCAGATATAGCATCAAGGAAGGCAGAAGTTAGACCAGCCGAATCTAAAGCATTGAAACAAGTGGGGTCTTTATGAATGAGATCACTCATGACAGTGGCAGCAAGCGAGAACACTCCACCCCCGAAATCTTTTGCTCTCCGGAAGATTATGCATAAGCATTCAGGCAGCAAGCTCTCCTCGGAACCATAGAGGTTAGTGTTACCAGGAGCATAAGTTCCAAGAGATATTGCACGTAGCAAGGCTTTTAACAACAATTTCCTGTGATACGAAACTAATGCTTCGGAATAGGGAAGCTGTTCAGTATCAGGCTGATTAAGAGAGCCACCAACAACATCTGATTCCCTCCCAACACTATCTGAACTGCAACTTGTTTCTTTCACATCATCTTCAGTACGAGAGACTTCCAGTTTCAACCGAAAGATAGTATCATCTAAGCCACCCAAATCTCTAAACAAAGCAGCAGCTGGGTTGCTGTAATCCATGAAGGCTTCTAATATATGCACAGCAGTACTGACCAAATGCAAGTGCTGGGGATCTCTATCTTTGATGAGAGGCACAAGGGTCGGAATTAGACCAGCTTCTCGCATGGCTGAACACCCAGATGATGATGAAACAAGGACTGTAACAAGGGATAACAAGGCTTCCGCAAAAGCCAGAGACCACTTAGAAGTATTACAAATAACAGAATCAATTGCTCTCTGCATTAGGCCAGATAGCAAACCACGATGCCCTCCAGAGGTGACTGCAGTTAAAACAGCCGGCTGCCGGGTTCGATCTTGCGATAGTGCAACCAAGGAAAGCAAGCATAGGATCCTTATTTTCTCTGGAACAGTATCCTCACAGCTTAACAGCGTAACTAACTCATTTACAAACTCGGGCTCGCCATTAAAGAAAGAAACAACATTCTCTGTGTCACCACTTGCTTGAACCAAAACAATGAAAGCATATAAGCGAATGCATGTATACTGCTGCCGGGTAGCCAAAGATGAGAACGCCCTTGCAAATCTCAATCTGGTCAACAACGCGAATCTTAAACTGGGAGGAACATTGTGATCAGTGACTAATTTGTTCAGTAGTTCCAGGTCAGACTCTGCACGCATGCTGACATCAGGTACATGGATAACTTGTAAACCGCCGGGAAGCTCACTTGATGATTCATTAGAAGCATAAAACTCAAAATGAAGAGTACAACCTAGCTGGTGAGAAACCTGATCACAACTGTTTTCTGTGGCACACGATGCCAAGCCAAGACCTTCCTCTTTTCCCCCCCAGCCTTGCGCAAGGGAAAAAAGTTTTGAATTTAGAGAAGCATCTCTTAT